CAGCCGTAGCTGCCTTCTGCCGCACGGCTGTAGGAGCAGAAGCGGCAGGAACAGCAGCGGCACCTGCGGCAGTTACAGCAGCAGCAGCAAAACCTACAGTTGTGTTGATGTGCTGTGCTGTGCTTTAGGCGGCGCGTTTGCTGCTGCACCACACAGTGTATGCGGTGGATAGTTTGCTGCTGCTGCCTCTCTTCTTTGATGCGAGCACTACGCAGGAGGCCGCAGCCTTCTGCTGCAGAACCCCCCCAACTCTCGGCTTGCTACACTTTCTGCAGCAGCAGCAGCAACAGCAACACCAGCAGCGGCATAGCCAGGTGCAGAAGCTAAGACCGCAATCAGTGCAGCAGCAAGAGCAGCAGCAAGAGCAGCAGCAAGAGCAGCAGCAAGAGCAGCAGCAACATGTTTTGTTCCTGCAGGAGGTGCAGGCTCTGTGCCGGGGCCTGGCAGGCTTGTCGTTGACCTCGGGACCAGCGGCAGCAGCAGCAGCAGCAGCAGCAGCAGAAGACGCTAAGTACAAGGCATCGGTTTTCGCTTATCATGCAGACAGGGGGGTTTACTTCTGTCGTACTCTCTGTATCAACATCTCGCTCCAGCAGCTAGCGGCTAGGAGACATGCTGCACGTGCTGCAGCGGCTGCTGCTGTTGCTGCTGAGCCCCCAGCTGCAGCAGATGCAGGAGCAGCAGCAGCAGCAGATACTGCTGCTGCTGCTGCCCGCGCAGCGTTGTTTCACGACCTCTATCTGAGTTGCGAGGTTTACCCAGAAGACGGCAGCTGCAAGCAGCAACAGGAACAGCAGCAGCAGCAGCAGCGAGGGCCTGGCACCCGCTGGCGCTGGTCGCCCCTGCACCGGGAGGAGTGCCGATTTTTGTGGAATCGAGAGCTGCTCTCGTTGCTGCTGCAGCAGCAGCAGGCGGAGTTGATATCTGAGGGCTTTTTCCTGCTGCTGCTTCATGGCTCGGTGCAGCAGCAAGTGCTGCACACGCAAGGAGTGCTGCTGCAGCTGCTGACGATCTCAAGGCGTTCTGCTGCCTTCGCAGGGCCTCGGTATGGTGGCGAATGCATGCAGCGTTGCTACTGTTGTTGCTGCTGTTTTTGGTGCTGCCGCTGCATCTTGCGCGGGGTGTTGCTGCTGACGGCCGCAGTATTGTTCCTGCTGCAGCTGCTGCCGCTGTCGCTGCGCATGCAGGTACCGAAAGAGGGGCCTTAACGACGCTGGAGACGCCGCAAATGAAGTGGAGGTGGAGTTCGTATGTATGGCCACGATGCCTTCTCGCAGCGCCTCAGAAGCAGCGGCTCTGCAGGCAGTAGCAGCAGCAGCAGCAGCAGCAGGCACGCCTGCTGCACTGTGGCGGCAGATGCTGCTGCGAGGGGGAGGTGCATTTGAAGCTGCTGTTGCTTCGCATGTCATCGCGAGAGGCAGCGCGCCGCTGATGTGGTGTCAAGACACCACAGTTATCCCCTCCAGACCCAGAATTCAACGGAGAATGGTGGGGGCTGCTGCTGCTGCTGCTGCTCTTGCTGCTGCTCGTGCACTTGCTGCTGCTGCTCCTCTTGCTCATGCACTTGCCGCTGCTGCTCCTGCTGTTCATGCGCTTTCTGCTGCTGCTCCTGCTGTTCATGCACTTGCTGCTGCTGCTCCTGCTGTTAGCCTGTCCGGTTTGTGGAGCAGCTCGTGCAGCTGTTTCCGGCAGTTGCTGCTGCTGCGGCAGTATTCGCAACAGCAGCGGAGAACGGAGGAGCTGCAACTGCTGCCCGTATAGAGATGCTGCTGCTGCTGCTGCTACACGTGCTGCTGCTTCTCCTGCAGGGAGGTTTTACGGTGCAGAGGCAGAGAGGCGTATGAATGTTTTGATGCCTTGCTGCTGGGACAAGGGACGTGCTGCTACTGTTGCTGCTGCTGGGACTGTTGCTGCCCCTGCCGCTGCTGTTACTGCTGATGTTGCTGCTGCTGTTGCTGCTGTTGCTCCTTCAGACGGACGTGAATTGCAGCGCGATAAGGAGACACATGGCGAGTTTGCTGCAGCGATACGGCGCTCCTCTCCTGCTGTTGAATCTGCTGCGGAACAGCCCCCGCCTGGGGCCTCCCCCAGCACAGCAGACAGCTCCGCGTGCATTTGCTGCTGCAGCAGCTAGGCTGGGGGAGCAGCAGCAACAACAACAGCAGCAGGGAGTTGCGTTAGGACCGGCAGCAGCTGCACGTGCTGCTGCAGCTGCGGAGGAAGACAGCCACAGCGAAGAAGCAGCCGCAGCAGCCGCATCTGTAGCGGACCAAGAAGCCTGTCTTGGGGAGGAGTACCGAAAAGCTGTTGCAGCCCTGAACGCAGTAAGGCTCGCAGAAACAACAGGAGCAGGAGCAGCAGCATCAGCTGCTGCTGCCGCTGCTCGTGCTGCTGCTGCTGGTGTTGCAGCTGCAGAGGGGGCCTTGAGGCAGTAGAATCGTTCGTTGCTGCGCCTTTAACTGAAGGGTGTTTTGTGCCGCTGCTGCTGTTGCGGTGCTGCTGCATGCGTGTCCTTGTTGCAGGAGCTGCCTGCTGCTGTACAGCTGCGGTTTGCTGCGGTAGATATCGAAGCAGCAAGACGCAGCAACCCCCAGGGCACCTCCGCATGGGTTGGGGTCCTTGCGGCAAAGACAATTAGGGAGCTGCAGTTCTTCGCAACCAATGAGTCCGCTATTAAGACAATTCCCTTGCAGCAGCAGCAACAACAATTAGTAGCAGCAGCAGCAGCAATGGTAGCAGCAGCAGCAGCAGCGGTAGCTGCAGCACCAGCAGCAGCTGCAACAGTAGCAGCAGCAGCAGCAGTGATTGTAGTAATAGTAGTAGTCAGAGTAATCGCTGCTGCTGCTGGTGCCGCTACTGCACGTAGGATGGCCTTTGAATTTGCTGTTGCTGCTGCCGCCCTTTTTGCGGTTTATTGGGTCTTGCTTATTGTATATTCTCTGTTTTATCTCGCGTTGTCTGTTTTGCTATCTTTATTTTCCTTTTGCTTTGTTTATTGTTTTATCTCCCATTTTATCTTTTGTTTTGCCTATTGTTTTATTTGTCGTTTTATTTGTTGTTTGATTTGTTGTTGTATTTATTATTTGTTTTGTCATTGTTTTATTTACTGTTTTATTTTTTATTTCTTGTTTCATTCATCGTTTTATTTGCTGCTTTATTTATTATCTTGTTTATTGTTTTATTATATCTTGTTTTTTTGTTGTTTATAGTGTTTCTTGTTTGTTATATTTGTGTTGTTTAGTGCGCCTCGTTTTGTATGAAGTACTTTTGTATTATTTTTTATGTTTAGTGTTTTTGCGTATTTATTAATGCGGGATTTCTCCCATCTTTATATTTTCATTGAGACGAGCGTCGTTTTTTCGTTTGTTTGTGTGTTTGTTTGGGTATGTTTATGCGTGTGTTTACATTTGTGTTGCTTATTCTTAAAAATGTTGTTGTGTACGTTTATGCTGATGTTTGTTTATGCTTACGTTCTATGTTTATGGTTGCTGCAGCGTGTGGGGTTTGCAGCCTTTGCTGCTGCAGCGGGGTGTCTGTCGTCTGAACTGTCTCGACTCTCTAGACCGCACCAATGCGCTGCAGCTGCATATTCACCGCGCATTCGTTCTTTCTTTTATGAGGGCTCTTCCTGCTGCACTAACCATCGATAGTGCCCTAGATGAACAGGTAATACATAATATACGCAACGAAACAAGGACAAGGGAAGGAAAGCGAGAGAAAGATAGATAGATATAGACAGAGGCGGAGACAGACAGAGGCACCGACAGCAGCAGCAGCAAGAGCAACGCAACGCACTAGTAGCAGCAGCAGCAGCTACAGCAGCAGTAGCTACAGCAGGAGCGGCTACAGCAGCAGCAGCAGTGAGCAAACAACGAACCAGAGTTGCCCCCGCAACAAGCGCAGCCGAAATAGACACAAGTGGAGGGAGCAGTAGCTTCGTCTCGGTTGCATTATAAAACCTTTTTCTCTATGTCTTGCTGTTGCACGTTGTACTGGTGTGCTGCACTGATGCTCTGCGGCTTTGGTGCTGTCCTGTACTGCAGGTGTTGCGCGCCATAGCCGCCCTCACGGACAGTAGCGGCGACGACCTCGCCCTTCAGTATGGAGGTAAACAGCAACAGCAACAGCCGCAACAGCTTGCCAGGGATGCGCTGCAATGGGTTCAATCCGGCAGCATAAGTAGCAGCACTTGCTGCGAAAGACCTGCTGCTGCAGGTGGCCGCGAAACACTTTTCCCTGTCCAGGGCTTAGGACTTAGGGTTTAGGGTTTAGGGTTTAGGGTTTAGTAGGGCTGCGCGTGCTGTGTTTCTGCATGCAGGGTCGGTGGCGCACAGGAAGAGGCTCGAGCCGTTGGCCTGGGCGGCTCAGCTGCCTCGGGGATCGTCTCCTGGAGACGATCCCAGCGGAAACCCCTGGAGCCTCTTTAGTAGAGTTGCAAGCAGCAGCAGCAGCAGCATCAGCGGCACTTCCTTTTCTCAGTTGTCGCCGCCGCCTCTCGCAGCATCCGTTGCAGCCGATGAAGCTGGTGCCGCAGACGAACATCGCACTGGTAGCAGCAGCAGCAGCAGCAGCAGCAAATCCAGCAGCCTTTTGAGCAGCGCATTGTCTGCTTTGCAAGGTGTCTCCTCAGCGTTGGCTCTTCAGTGGGTTGGGGGTCGCAGCAGCGGCGCCACGGTGCTGCCGCTGCTGCCGGGCCTCTCCACTTCTCTACAGCGCAGGTATATGACACACTAACAGCAGTAGCAACAGAAGCAGCAGCAACAAAAGCAGCAGCAGTAGCATCAGCTGCACAGAAGCAACAACCGCCGCAACACTGGCGATGCCAGAAGCAGCAGCAGTAGCAGCAGCAGCGGCAGGAGGACGTTACTAGTGGCATCAGCCTTTACATCGACGTGTGGCATGCGTGGGGTGTACGTACAGCTTAGAGAAAGGCGAGACGGAGCTAACTGCTGCTGTGAGGAGGAGCAGTTGGGTTGTTTGCGTTGCTGCTGCTGGTTTGGTGCAGGTATAGCAACGTGCTAGAGGACGGGCGGAAGCAGCAAGCCTTAAATATCTGGTTTTGCTTGTCTTCTCCCTCCGCGAGACAAAACTTGAGAACACCCATTTGGCGCTTAGAGGACAGCTACGATCTGTACATACACCACAAGTCAGACAGACACATCCACATGCAACAACCTAACACCGGGATGAGCTCCTCCAGCAGCTCCTGCTGATCCTGCTGCTGCAAATGCACCTGCTACCCCTGCGGCTGCTGTTATGCACACTGCTGCAGTAGATGCTACTCCTGTTCGTCCTGCTGCTGCTGCTGCTGCTCGTGATGACTCTTTGCCTTTTTTGCGGCCGGTGCCTCTGGACAATCTGCAGCTTCTTACGGGTAGAAGCAAAGCTGCAGCATCTGCTGCTGCTGCAGCTGCTGTTGCGTCACCTTCTGGACTGCTGGAATCCCTGGATTATTACCCGCTGGCTCGCCGCTGGATTTATAACGATAATTTTGCTGCTGCTGCGGCTGCTTCGGGTGTTTCTGCTGCAGCTTTCTTGAGCCATCTTTTTCTCCGAAGGACTGGTGGGTGCTGCCGCTGCAGCGCTTCTTTAACGGCATGAAGGCATCTCTCACCACCTCCCGCTGCAGCAGCAGCAGCAGCTACGGCTGCTGCTGCTCCTGCATGCGCACTCCCCAGCATGAACAGGCAGGGGCAGCGACGAGCGCAGCAGCAGGAGCAGCAGGAGCAGCAGGAGCAGCATCAACTGCAATGGCTGCAAAGGGGCTGCTGGGCTGCTGCGGCTGCGGCTGCCAGGTTGCCAGCAGCGGTCAGTTCACTGTTGCTGCTGCTGCTGCAGCAGATGCGTTTTTCCGCTCTCGTGGGCCACTCTGGGTGAAGGACTTCTTAGCGCTACCGTCTTCAGCGGCCGCTCCAAGCAGCAGCAGCAGCAACAGCAGCAGCAACAACAACAGCATCAGCAACAGCAGCGGCGTTCCTGAGCCTGAGGATGATGAGCGCTGTCTCTTGGAAGTGTTCACGTATGCCCCTTGGCGCAGACAAGCAGCAGCAGCAGCTGCTGCTGGTGCTGCTTCTGGGGCTGCAGCAGAGGTGACCGCCTGCCAGCTGCCTGGCAAAAGGGTCGGGGCCAACGTGTCAGCAGCAGAACCAGCAGCAGCCGCAACAACTGCAGCAGCAGCAACATCACCAGCGGCAATTGCAGATGGACCTGCCTCTGCTGTTGTTGCTGCTGCTGGCCCTGCTGCTGGTTCAGACCCTGAGAATAACGCAGCGCGAAGCGAGTATAATACGGAAGGCAGCAGCAGGGGAAACAACAGCAGCAACAAATCATTCTCAGCGCATGCAGAACTGCAGCAGAAGCTGGCGACCCGTGCATCTGTGGGGCGGTCTTCTCTGGCTTTGCTACTGCCTAGCCTCATAGACACGGAAGCAGCAGCAGCAAGAGCGCTGCAGTGCTGCTACGCGCTGCTGCTACGGGAGCAGGAGCAGCGGTGGACGTACACTGCACTGCAGCAAATGCAGCAGCAGCAGCAAGAGGAGGAACGCAGGGGCAGCAGCTTCATCTCCAGGTGGGTGTCCGGGCACTTGGTGCTGCAGCAGCGCAGCAGCAGCAACGCGCTGCAGCAGCGACTGCTGCAGGCACACAGAGCACGACGGCTCAGGGTGCAAGCAGCACACCTCAAGGCCTCTGACGTAGAGCAGAAGCACCCAGCAGCAGTTTTCTGCTGCCGGCGCTGCTGTACACCTCGTGCTGCAGCGGCCGATCCGAAGGCGCTGCTGCTGCTGCTGCCGCAAGCAGCAGCACAGGCGCCACAGGGGGACTCCGCAGGAGTCAACAACCAGCAACAGGAGCAGCAGCAACAGCTGCTACTCCTGCGAGAGGAAGCAGAATCGTTTAAGCGGATCCTGCAGGAACAGCTACGAAGAGGCCTGGAGGTGTACGTGCAGCAGCGGCAGCTGCAGCACAAGGAAGCACTGACAGGGCTTCCGCTTGAACTCCAGCAGCAGCTGCAGCTCACCAGCAGCAGGCGCACCAGCGGCGTAAACTGCCGCCTTCGAGCAGCAAATGGAAGGAGCAGCAGCAAAAGCAGCACTTGCTGCTGGGAAGCAGCACTTGCTGCTGCTTCAGACACGGTACTACAGCCCGTGGAGCTGCATGCACAGCAGCAGCAGATTCACCTTGCCAGACTGCGGCGGCAGCAGCGGCAGCTGCAGACGCGTTTGCTGCTCCCAGCCATGTAGGCTATCGCTTGTTGCTGCTGCCTGTGCCTTTGCTTGGGCCCCTCTGAAGAGGCAGCAGCACGAGGGAGATGCGAGAAGGGCAGCAGAAGGAGCAGCAGCAACCGCAGCAGTATCAGAAGGGGTAAGCTGTTCCAGTTGCAGCAGCAGGCCTTGTGAGGGACTGCAGCAAGGGCTAGCTAACGCCCTCAAGCCGCAGAGCGGCGTAGTTACTCCTAAGCACTAAGAATGAGACGAATAAATAATAGACCAATTAATAAGCAAATATGCAAAAAGTAAATAAGTAAGTACGTTATAAACAACGAAGAATATAAGTGCGTGCTGCAGAAGCTGCAGCAGCAGCAGCAGTAGCAGTTGCTGCAGCTGCAATTTTTTCTTCCTGCCGTTGGGGAGTTTTTGGGCTGTCTGTACAGCTGAGTTGATCCCCCGGAGGAAGACGAAATGAATTAGCTTAAAAGACAGACAAATAAAATGTATGACAGAACAGACGAACACTAAAAAATGCAGATCTGCACGCATGCAGGTACGTACACTGGGAGCCGCCTCAGCAGCTTCTGCTTCTGTTGCAGCTGCAGCAGCTGCAGCAGCAATAGGCAGGTGGGCGTGGTGCAGCTGCAGCAGCAACAGCAAGACGGGGCTGGTGCAGCTGCTGCAACAGCAAAAGGGAGAGGGTTTCCTTACGGCTGGCTTAGGGAACTTAAAAGCCTCAAGCGTTCTAACAGTGGAGGGATGTACAGCGAAGCGCTGCTGCTGCTGCTGTTGCTGCTGTTGTTGCTGCTGTTGCTGCTGCTGGTGCTGCTGCTTTTGCTGCTATGGTCCCTGGCAAGAGGGAGCTCTCGGGAGACTGCAGATGGTGGTTTTAGCCCATAAAGCACGGCGGAGCCTTCTATTGTATTGCCATCCTCAGCCCCAGCAGCAGCAGAAGCAGCAGCAGCAGCATTGGCAGGTACTATTGCTGCGCCTGCTGCCTTGCGTTTCCTGGGTCTCGCTGCAGGTCGTTGGGTTGCTGCTTCTGCTGCACTCGTAGCACGCCCTGATGCCCCGGCTGCAGCGCTGGTAGCAGCAGATGCAGCAGATGGTGGTGCTGTTGCTGTTGCTGCTGTTCCTTGGCTCAGGAAGTCTTCGCAGGCAGCCTGTGCACCGCAAGCAGTGGATGCAGCAGGGTCCGAAGCAGCAGCAGCAGCGACAGCAGCAGTTGCAGCTGCAACTGCTGCTGCTGCTGCTTCCTTCGGGGTGCTGCTGCTGCACCTCTCATATAAATGGTTTAGAATAAAACCCCAGAAGACTCTGCGGCTGCAAGCGCAGCACCACCAGAAGGCAGGGACCAGGCGGTAGACCTCATCATCATCCTGTACTGCTGCTGCTGTACTTCCCGCAACTTCTGCTGCTGCGTCTGCTGCGGTGGACGATGCTGCTGCACGCCGGTGCTGCTGCCGTGCAGCTGCTTCCTGCTGCAGCGAAAAGAGACCTGCGCACGTCAGGTGTACGTACACTCCGCACTGAGGGCAGCAAACAGCCCTTTCCCTCTCTTGAAACGGCAACTGACACGAGGGACAAGAAGCACATGAAGCACCAGCAGCATTACCAGAAGCTGCAGCAGGTGCTGCTGCTGCTTCCTTTGGGAAGACCTCTCCGCAGCAGCTTGAGTTGCTGCTGCAGTCTGCGGTGAGCTGCCGCAGGTCTATTGCTGCAGCGTCGCCGAAGCAGCAGTTGCACCCGTTGCTGCTGCTAACTTTATCGCCGTTGCTGTTGCTGCAGCTTCTACTGCTGCTGCTGCACTCTGTGAAGGCAGAAACTCGCAAGCCAGGGGGCAGCAGGCGAATTGAAGTGATGGGGCCGCTGCTGACGGTCACCTGTGGGGGAAGCCGGGTCAGCGCCCGCCTGCTGCTGCTGCTGCTGCTGCTGCTGCCGCTGCTGTTTCTGGTGAAGTTTCTCCTTGATCCTCCGCCACAGCAGGAGTACAACAGCAAGTCCTGCAACAAGTCTGCTACGTCGGTGCAGCAGCAATGCAGCTGCAGCGGAAGACGCCCGAAGGGATCGCCGTGCAGCAGCAGCAGTGCCTGCTGCAGTTCCGCCTCGAGTCGCTGCTGCGGATTTTTGCTGCGGCGCCTACGCAGCACAAAGGGGACGCGGCAGCAGCGTGAATCGTCTGCTGCGGCTGCCTGCTGGTTCAGCAGCTCCCAGTCAGCGGCTGCTGCTGCTGCTGCTGCTGCTGTTGCTGCTGCTGTGACGGCGCCGGTTGCCGCGGGTGCTTGTACCCCTCCTGCTGCTGTTGTTGCAGCAGCTGCTGCGCCGCTGCTGTCTGCGGGGATGGAATTGAGGCGGCGCTCGCGGCGTTGCTGCCTGCGTCGTACAACGCAGCTGCCGCAGCTTCTGCAGCTGCAGACAGCCCCTGTGTCTCCACAGCAGCACAACGAACGCACTGCAGCAGCAGGAACCAGCGCTTGCTGCCAGCGAAATTCAAACTGCAGAGCCCCCACCAGAGAAGGGAAACCCGAGATAAACAAACACAGACGCCACGGACGGTGCCTGCAGCAGCAGCAGCAGCAGCAATAACAGCAAAGGGAAACAGCAGCATTCACTACTCCTGTAGCAGCAGCAGCACTTGCTCTTGCTGATGCAGCTCGAAAAGAGCCAGGCATATCAGACAAGCAGCAGCCGCAGCAACATCAGCCGCACCAGCAGCCGCTGCAGCAGCAACCACAACCAGAGCGGCGACCACACCCACAGCAGCAACAGCAGCAGCAGCAGCAACAGCATGAATCTTACAACGAAGTGCGTCTGGCTCCTTGTATGATTATTCCGTTGTGCTGTCGTAGGCGACGGAGAGGGTTTGTGCTGCACCCAACGTAAAAGTGCTGCGGCGAGGAGATAGACTGCAGCAAATATACACAGTAAAATCCTCGAGGCACGCAACGCCAGCAGCAGCAGCTGCTGCTGCTGCCGCTGCTTGTGCTATTCGCGCCTTGGGTGGCGTCCGCCTCGTCTGCGCTACTTGGGTCCGAGAGAGAAGGACAACTGCTGCCCACGGAGCTGTTGCTGCAGCTTCTGCTGCTGCTGCTGCGGCGGCATGTTCTGTTGCTGCAGGTGCTCCTGCTGCTGCTGCGGCTTCTGCTTCTGCTGCGGCTTCTGCTTCTGCTGCGCCTTCTGCCGCGGCAGCTCCCGGCGGGTTTCCTGTGTGCAGCAGCAGCAAGCGAGGCAGCAGCATCGGAAAGAAGAGGCTCTTCGTCCTCCATAACGAGTTCTTTGGTTCTAAACCGCACAGAGATAGACTCAGCTCAGTTACCGCGCTTCAACGGCCGCAGCGGCAGCGGCAGCAGCTGTTGCTGCTGCGGCTGCCGCTC